ATCGGGGTGCAGCTTGGGGGTGGCACATGGGTGGCATCTAGGAAGTGGCTGGCTTCGGGAAGGTGGATCCTGGGTGGCATGCTGGAGTGGCAACCGGTGGCATCCCAGGTGGCACACCTGAGGTGGCCATCCTGGTGCATACATGCAGGTGGCATCCGGAGCAATCCTGGATGGCATCCGAGTACACACACTGGGGCACGGCAGTGCAATCCTGGGTGCACCGGGGTGGCATCACCCATGGGGCATCCTGGCAGTCAGCATCCAGGAGTAAGCATTCCTGTGGTTCATTCAGGGTGGCATAACCTGGAGGTGTGACATCAGGGTGCAGCAGTTCTGGATAGGCATCCTGTGTGCCAATCCTGGGTTTGGCATGGAAGAAGTAAGACAATGAGAGAGGTGGATTAGAGGTTAGATGCAGGAAGGCCTTTGGAAGTAGCAATGAGTAGTGCAGAGGAGGTGGATGGTGGTGCATACTGGTCATCATGGGGGTGCATCTGGGATGGAATACCTGGAGGGGCATACAACGAGTCATTGGTGGAGAGATCCATGGGGCCTGCTACGAGGGGTCCAATCAGTGTTAGATCCTGTAGTGGACATCCCTGGGGTAGCATCTGAGTGGCGTCCTGGGGTGATGAGAAGAATTCCTGGGTGGCATCGGGGGGCATCAGGGAACTGGGCTGGCACAGGCTGCACTGTGGTACACACTGGGGGGCTTCTGGGTAGATCCTGCATGGTGGCATCCTGGGGAGCTCAGCAGTGAGTGAGGTACATTCAACTGTTTCTAGACTAATCAGTGACTATACTGAGTCAGTACATGAGAGTACAGCCGCTGATTGCTGAGTTACTAGTATATAGGAGGAGGAGGAAGAAGAAGAAGAAGAAGAAGAAGAAGAAGAAGAAGAAGAAGAAGAAGAAGAAGAAGAAGAAGAAGAAGAAGAAGAAGAAGAAGAGGAGGAGGAGGAGGAGGAGGAGGTGAGAAAGGTCAAGAGACAGGAAGTGAAGCGTAGAAAGCTTCGGGAACAGAGTTAATTGTAGGAAGCTGGAAGTGTCACACACACACACACACCACACACACACACACACACACACACACACACACACACACACACACACACACACACACACACACACACACACACACACATACACACACACACACACACACACACACACACACACACATACACACACACACAATCAACGCACCCCTCTCTCTCGTGTCTTCTGTTACATTGCCATAAAACTCCAGGAGGTTTGTGACACAGGATTTGCCTAGCATGGGTTCATGGAAGGCAAATCCTGTGTCACAAACCTCCTGGAGTTTTATGACAAGGTAACAGAAGTAAGACACGAGAGAGAGGGGTGGGTAGATTGCGTTTTCCTAGACTGCAGGAAGGCCTTTGACACAGTTCCCCACAAGAGATTAGTGCAGAAGCTGGAGGATCAGGCGCATATAACAGGGAGGGCACTGCAATGGATCAGGGAATACCTGACAGGGAGGCAACAACGAGTCATGGTACGTGAAGAGGTATCACAGTGGGCGCCTGTGACGAGCGGGGTCCCACAGGGGTCAGTTCTAGGACCAGTGCTATTTTTGATATATGCGAACGACATGATGGAAGGAATAGACTCTGAAGTGTCCCTGTTCGCAGATGATGTGAAGTTGATGAGAAGAATTAAATCGGATGAGAATGAGGCAGGACTGCAAAGAGACCTGGACAGGCTGAACATGTGGTCCAGAAACTGGCTTCTCGAATTCAATCCTGCCAAATGCAAAGTCATGAAGATTGGGGAGGGGCAAAGAAGACCGCAGACAGAGTATAGGCTAGGTGGACAAAGACTACAGACCTCACTCAAGGAGAAAGACCTTTGGGTGACCATAACACCGAGCACGTCACCGGAGGCACACATCAACCAAATAACTGCTGCAGCATACGGGCTCCTGGCAAACCTGAGAATAGCGTTCCGATACCTTAACAAGGAATCGTTCAAGACACTGTACACTGTGTATGTTAGGCCCATACTGGAGTATGCAGCACCAGTCTAGAACCCACACCTGGTCAAGCACGTCAAGAAGTTAGAGAAAGTACAAAGGTTTGCAACAAGGCTAGTCCCAGAGCTCAAGGGAATGTCGTACGAGGAAAGGTTGAGGGAAATCGGACTGACGACACTGGAGGACAGAAGGGTCAGGGGAGACATGATAACGACATACAAGATACTGCGGGGAATAGACAAGGTGGACAGAGATAGGATGTTCCAGAGAGGGGACACAGGGACAAGGGGTCACAACTGGAAGCTGAAGACTCAGACGAGTCACAGGGACGTTAGGAAGTATTTCTTCAGTCATAGAGTTGTCAGGAAGTGGAATAGCCTAGCAAGTGAAGTAGTGGAGGCAGGAACCATACATAGTTTTAAGAAGAGGTATGATAAAGCTCAGGAAGCAGAGAGAGAGAGGACCTAGTAGCGATCAGTGAAGAGGCGGGGCCAGGAGCTGAAACTCGACCCCTGCAACCACAATTAGGTGAGTACAATTAGGTGAGTACAATTAGGTGAGTACTCACACACACACACTCACACACACACACACACTCACACACACTCACACACACACACACACGGACACACACGCACGTACACGCACGCACACTATTGTACCTCACTGATGCGTGTAAACATCAAGTCACTTCGTGTTGTGTGAACCGTTATTATGTACACCCCTGAGGTAATGTGTACACCCCTGAGGTCACCATGCACACATCAGAGGGTCACCATGTGCACACTGGGGGAATTCAAGCATGTGTCTATGGCTGAAATACCATACAATTTCCCAATCAATCACAAACAAGACAGTTACAAAGGTTTGCAACAGAGCTCCGACAGCACTAGCGTTACATTATTGAAAGTTCTGAAAGATTTTAGAAAGCAAGATTGCTAACTTCATGGACTGACAACAACTGCATATCCTTTACTAAAACAGTAAGTGTCCGGGGCCCAAGACTATTCAACAGCCTCCCAGCAGCCATAAGGGGGATTACCAGTAGACCCCTCGTTGCCTTCAAGAGGGAGCTGGACAGATGCCTAAAGTCAGTACCAGATCAGCCAGACTGTGGTTCGTACGTTGGGCTACGTGAGGCCAACAGTAACAGCCTGGTTGATCAGGTCCTGATCCACCGGGAGGCCTGGTCTTGGACCAGGCCTCGGGGGCGTTGATCCCTGGAATACCCTCCAGATAGACTCCAGGTAACATGGGTTTAGAACAGGTCGCTCCTGCCTCTCACAACTACTGGACCAATATTACACAGTCTTGGATGCACTGGAAGACAAACAAAGTGCAGATATAATGTGCACTGCGAGAGCTTCGACAAGTGTGATCATGGTGTAACAGCGCACAAAATACATGTAAAGAAAATCACTGGAAAAACGGGCAGATAGATTTTTAACTTTCTAGCAGAAAGCAAAGAGTAAACTGAGTAAAATCACAGACTGCCATAGTGAAACCTCCTGCTCCTCAAGGCATGGAACTCTCCCTCAGTTCTCTTTCCCATCCTCACACAGACATAAATCCAATAATACACTGTATTTTCCTTTACATATGACAGTAGAATTTGTATGAGTGGCATCCATAGAAGGCACAGTGAACCTTCAAGCAGATAACATCCAAGTCTTCCAGTGAACCGTAGAAAACATTACGAGGTTCATGGTTCTTACAGTTCGCCATGACAACGTAAGGAAATAAAAACTGGAACGAAGTATAAAAGTAAGACAAACCACTCAGGAGAGTGGAAGATCAGTGTGAGGAACTCAGGAACGTTAACATCAGAGAATCTCACATTCAGGGATATAAGTATTATCATCACAGCCGCGGGAAGATGATAACTGGAACCTCCATCAAGACAGATGCCAAACCAATGATGATACATTGTTCTCTGTACACTGTAATACTGCTGTACATTACAGCCCGTTTTAAGGCAGACGAAATTGCAGACCTGGAGAATGTGCAGAGAATCTTCACTGCTCGTTTAAATTCACTCAAACACCTAAATTGCTGGGAATGTTTGAAGTCCCTCGACCCCGAACTGCTTGAAAATCCTGGAGGGATTAGTCCCAACTCTCCACACATGACTCCCTGCCAGAACACCAGGCTGGACACAAGGTGCAAAACTCCTCAGGTGTACAGGTGCTACGAGTGTGTTGAGAAGTCAATAAGTGTACGGAGACCAAGACTTTTCAACAGCCTCCCTTCAACCATGAAGTATATTGCCGACGAACCTCTTGTTATCTTCAAGAGGAGACTTAACATAAAAACATATGAAAGGAGGAACACCGCAGCAGGCCTACTGGCTTATACTAAGTAGGCCTTTCTCAGACCCAAATCCACTAACAAAAACATATTTCCAACTCATTTTCAATGCTCTCCAAACAATAAACTTGGATAAGTTCTCCAAGTTACCTCCTGATCGGTAGGGCTGTAATGAATACTTTGACCTGCGAGCGGCTAGTACCGACAGCCTGGTTATATGAAGCCAAGAGGTCTGGTCTGGGACAGAACAAGGAGGATGGAGTGACCCCAGAAATTATCTTCGGGTAACCCCTCTCCCAGAGACCCCCTCCCCCCTCCTCCAAAATCCACCCCGCCTATATCAACTTCTCACGTGATTTCCCCTGATGTTTACACTTTCTAAGGTGATCATGCAGAGAAAGTCATCCAACCACCACAGTTGTCAACCTTCTCTTCTTCCACCCCCTCCCCACAACCTTAACAACCTCCACAACTTCACCCATCAAGCTATTTTGTCTCCCCCCCACCCTACAATCTCGCCATCTCCCCACTACTCCAGCTTCTCGTTATTCTATCACCCATCCTCCCACACACGAATACACCCCAGCACAACCCCGATCCCCCTTCTAGCTATTCTCGCTCCCCCACCCAACATCTCCACTCCCCACTCCCCCTCAGCAGATGATGGTGTGAGTCAGGAAGTGAAGGTGTTAGCCTCAGTCTGACTACAGACACACACCAGCTGTAACCACTCTGTGCACTCCTTCCGTCTTCTTTGTGCACTAATACCACCCTGTGTCTGTGTGCACTCCCACCACCCTCTCTGTGCACTACCTACATGTCTGTGTCCCGTTGTGACTTACGTACACGTCTGCGTGTGTACATGTGTACGTCTCACTAACAAGACTAAAAGTGTGTATATTTTGTGACTATCTGCTTGGTTATGTTGTTAGTGCTATGTTGTTAGTGCTATGTTGTTAGTGTTATGTTGTCAGTGTTATGTTGTTAGTGCTATGTTGTTAGTGTTATGTTGTTAGCGTTATGTTGTTAGTGCTATGTTGTTAGTGCTATGTTGTTAGTGTTATGTTGTTAGTGTTATGTTGTTAGTGTTATGTTGTTAGTGTTATGTTGTTAGTGTTATGTTGTTAGTGTTATGTTGTTAGTGTTATGTTGTAGTGCTATGTGTTAGTGTTATGTGTAGTGTTTGTTGTTAGTGTTATGTTGTTAGTGTTATGTTGTTAGTGCTATGTTGTTAGTGTTATGTTGTTAGTGCTATGTTGTTAGTGTTATGTTGTTAGTGTTATGTTGTTATGTTGTTTTATGTTTGTTAGTGTTATGTTGTTAGTGTTATGTTGTTTGTGTTATGTTTGTTAGTGTTATGTTGTTAGTGCTATGTTGTGTTTAGTTGTTGTATGTTGTTAGTTGTGTTATGATTTGTTAGTGCTATGTTGTTAGTGTTAGTTGTTATGTTATGTGTTAGTTATGTTGTTAGTGCTATGTTGTTAGTGTTATGTTGTTAGTGTTATGTTTAGTGTATGTTGTTATATGTTGTTAGTGGTTATGTTGTTAGTGCTATGTTGTTAGTGTTATGTTGTTAGTGTTTTATGTGTTAGTGCTATGTTGTTAGTGCTTGTTGTTAGTGCTATGTTGTTAGTGTTATGTTGTTAGTGTTATGTTGTTAGTGTATGTTGTTAGTGCTATGTTGTTAGTGTTATGTTGTTAGTGTTATGTTGTTAGTGTTATGTTGTTAGTGTTATGTTGTTAGTGCTTATGTTGTTAGTGTTATGTTGTTAGTGTATGTTGTTAGTGCTATGTTGTTAGTGCTTATGTTGTTAGTGTTATGTTGTTAGTGTTATGTTGTTAGTGTTATGTTGTTAGTGCTTATGTTGTTAGTGTTATGTTGTTAGTGCTATGTTGTTAGTGTTATGTTGTTAGTGTTATGTTGTTAGTGTATGTGTTAGTTATGTTGTTAGTGTTATGTTGTTAGTGCTATGTTGTTAGTGTTATGTTGTTAGTGTTATGTTGTTAGTGTTATGTTGTTAGTGCTATGTTGTTAGTGTTATGTTGTTAGTGTTATGTTTGTTAGTGTTATGTTGTTAGTGTTATGTTGTTAGTGTTATGTTGTTAGTGCTATGTTGTTAGTGTTATGTTGTTAGTGTTATGTTGTTAGTGTATGTTGTTAGTGTTATGTTGTTAGTGCTATGTTGTTAGTGTTATGTTGTTAGTGCTATGTGTTAGTGTATTTGTTAGTGTTATGTTGTTAGTGTTATGTTGTTAGTGCTATGTTGTTAGTGCTTATGTTGTTAGTGTTATGTTGTTAGTGTTATGTTGTTAGTGCTATGTTGTTAGTGTTATGTTGTTAGTGTTATGTTGTTAGTGTTATGTTGTTAGTGCTATGTTGTTAGTGCTATGTTGTTAGTGTTATGTTGTTAGTGTTATGTTGTTAGTGCTATGTTGTTAGTGCTATGTTGTTAGTGCTATGTTGTTAGTGTTATGTTGTTAGTGTTATGTTGTTAGTGTTATGTTGTTAGTGCTATGTTGTTAGTGTTATGTTGTTAGTGTTATGTTGTTAGTGTTATGTTGTTAGTGTTATGTTGTTAGTGTTATGTTGTTAGTGTTATGTTGTTAGTGTTATGTTGTTAGTGCTATGTTGTTAGTGTTTTGTTAGTTTTATTACGATAATGTTATTACGATTGTTATTACGATTGTTATTACGATAGTTATTACGACAGTGTTATTACGATAGTGTTATTACGATAGTTATTACGATAGTTATTACGACAGTGTTATTACGATAGTGTTATTACGATAGTGTTATTACGATAATGTTATTACGAGTGTTATTACGATAGTGTTATTACGATAGTGTTATTACGATAGTGTTATTACGATAGTATTATTACGATAATGTTATTACGATAGTGTTATTACGATAGTGTTAATACGATAGTATTATTACGATAATGTTATTACGATAATGTTATTACGATAGTGTTATTACGAGTGTTATTACGATAGTGTTATTACGATAGTGTTATTACGATAGTGTTATTACGATAGTGTTATTACGATAGTGTTATTACGATACTGTTATTACGATAGTGTTATTACGATAGTGTTATTACGATAGTGTTATTACGATAGTGTTATTACGATAGTTATTACGATAGTGTTATTACGATAGTGTTATTACGATAGTGTTATTAAGATACTGTTATTACGATAGTGTTATTACGATAGTGTTATTACGATAGTGTTATTACGATATATCATCACCTCCACACAACACATCACCCACATCATCACACATCACACCAAATCACCATCACCACCACAATCACACACTCCATCCACCACAATCACCATCACCACCACAATCATCACCACCACCACAATCATCACTCCCACATCATCACCACACACATCTCACCCAATCACTCACCACACAATCACCACCCAATCACCCCACACAAATCCCACACCACAATCATCATCACCTCCCCCACAATCATCACCCACCACTCACCATCCACAATCATCCCACCAACAATCATCACCACCACAAATCATCACCCACAATCATCACCCCACACAATCATCACCACTCCACCACAATCATCAACACCCACCACAATCATCACCACCATCACACAATCATCACCCCTACCACAAATCATCACCACCACAATCATCACCATCCAATCCACTCACCACATCATCACCACCATATCACCACCACATATCATCACCCACCACCACATCATCACACCCCAATCACACCCACCACAATCATCCACCACCACAACACACACATCACACTCACCACCACAAATCACCATCCACCCAATCACACCACACCACATCATCACCTCCATCCAACAATCATCACCACCACACCACAATCATCACCACCACACAATCACCATCCACCACAATCATCACCACCACCACAATCATCACCTCCACCACAATCACATCACACCCACCACACAATCATCACCACCACAATCCATCACCTCCACCACAATCATCACCACCACCAATCATCATCACCACCACCACAATCATCATCACCACCACCACAATCATCACCACCACCACCACAATCATCACCTCCACCACAATAATCACCACCACCACAATCATCATCACCACCACAATCATCACCACCACCATAATCACCATCACCACCACAATCACCATCACCACCATCAATCATCACCCCAACACAATCACCATCACCACCACCACATCACCACCACCACAATCATCACCACCACCACAATCATCATCACCACCACAATCATCATCACCACCACCACAATCACCATCACCTCCACCACAATCACCATCACCACCACAATCATCACCACCACAATCACCATCACCTCCACCACAATCACCATCACCTCCACCACAATCATCGCCACCACCACAATCATCATCACCACCACAGTCATCACCACCACCACCACAATCACCACTATTTTCGGCCCAGGAAGGTCGTAAGTCTGGTATGGAAGTGCGGGTTCATGTTCCAGAGTATTGTAACTTTCACTGTTTAAATCTTATCCTTTTAAGTGATCTATATACATTATACACATTACTGGGACCAGCACTGATACATGAGGGTCCCCACTTATCATGCACATTACTGAGACCAGCACTGATACATGAGGGCCCCCATTTATCATACACATAACTGGAACCAGCACTGATACTTAAGGGTCCCCTCTCATATATTTTTAAACATTGCTGTTATAGTAAGTATATATCAATGTACTTTTGTTCGTCAGTACATGTACGTACGAAATAATGTAGAAGGGGTCGAGTCTCAGCTCCTGGCTGTGTGTGTGTATATGTACGTGTGTGCGTGTGAACCCTGGAGCATATCACGATGTACACTCCCATTTCCCACCTGCCCTTCCTGACCTCTGCCAGTATGTGGAGGGGTGGGGGAAGGAAAAGGAGGGGGGGAGTATGTGGCCCTGCTTAGTGACGTCATGCTAGGGGGTCACGCAATGTCACTCAGGGTCAATTACGCATGGCAGTGTTCACTTGTTTCCTCCCGAGATAGACTGACTTTCTTGTAAAGTGATCTATCGCTCGACAAGTCTTCCTCTTGACACAGTCATCATGGATCCCGCCTTCTACACAAGACTCGTATATCTATGTTCTTCCCTTCCCCGGCTGTGTCTGTTGATGTCTGCCTCTCTCAGTACACTGTTGATGTCTGTGTCTCTCAGTACACTGTTGATGTCTGTGTCTCTCAGTACACTGTTGATGTCTGTGTCTCTCAGTACACTGTTGATGTCTGCCTCTCTCAGTACACTGTTGATGTCTGCCTCTCTCAGTACACTGTTGATGTCTGTGTCTCTCAGTACACTGTTGATGTCTGTGTCTCTCGGTACACTGTTGATGTCTGTATCTCTCAGTACACTGTTGATGTCTGTGTCTCTCAGTACACTGTTGATGTCTGCCTCTCTCAGTACACTGTTGATGTCTGCCTCTCTCAGTACACTGTTGATGTCTGTGTCTCTCAGTACACTGTTGATGTCTGTGTCTCTCGGTACACTGTTGATGTCTGTATCTCTCAGTACACTGTTGATGTCTGTGTCTCTCAGCACACTGTTGATGTCTGTGTCTCTCGGTACACTGTTGATGTCTGTGTCTCTCAGTACACTGTTGATGTCTGTGTCTCTCAGTACACTGTTGATGTCTGTGTCTCTCAGTACACTGTTGATGTCTGTGTCTCTCAGTACACTGTTGATGTCTGTGTCTCTCAGTACACTGTTGATGTCTGTGTCTCTCAGTACACTGTTGATGTCTGTGTCTCTCAGTACACTGTTGATGTCTGTGTCTCTCAGTACACTGTTGATGTCTGTGTCTCTCAGTACACTGTTGATGTCTGTGTCTCTCAGTACACTGTTGATGTCTGTGTCTCTCAGTACACTGTTGATGTCTGTGTCTCTCAGTACACTGTTGATGTCTGTGTCTCTCAGTACACTGTTGATGTCTGTATCTCTCAGTACACTGTTGATGTCTGTGTCTCTCAGTACACTGTTGATGTCTGTATCTCTCAGTACACTGTTGATGTCTGTGTCTCTCAGTACACTGTTGATGTCTGTGTCTCTCAGTACACTGTTGATGTCTGTGTCTCTCAGTACACTGTTGATGTCTGTATCTCTCAGTACACTGTTGATGTCTGTGTCTCTCAGTACACTGTTAATGTTTGTGTCTCTCAGTACACTGTTGATGTCTGTGTCTCTCAGTACACTGTTGATGTCTGTGTCTCTCAGTACACTGTTGATGTCTGTGTCTCTCAGTACACTGTTAATGTTTGTGTCTCTCAGTACACTGTTGATGTCTGTGTCTCTCAGTACACTGTTGATGTCTGTGTCTCTCAGTACACTGTTAATGTTTGTGTCTCTCAGTACACTGTTGATGTCTGTGTCTCTCAGTACACTGTTGATGTCTATGTCTCTCAGTACACTGTTGATGTCTATGTCTCTCAGTACACTGTTGATGTCTGTATCTCTCAGTACACTGTTGATGTCTGTATCTCTCAGTACACTGTTGATGTCTGTATCTCTCAGCACACTGTTGATGCTGTAATTTTAAGACAGTAATAGCTTGAGGTGACTATGGCTGTCTCCTCACCTCTCTGATACGATTCTCTTCCGAGTTCTCACTCCAGGACTTAGCGTAGCATCGCCTAGTTTTCATTCTTAGATTTTGCCCTAGTTACGAATTGTTGTAGCCACGGTACTGTGAGCCTTATTCTTCTCCACAAGTTGAAGTGTTAACTGGTGTTAGTTGAGAGGGTGGCGTGTGTGTGAGAACAACTGCCAGTAAACTAATCAACGGTTATGTAGAACGATACGTTTATATACATTTGGAAATTTTCTGAAGAGGGTCATTTGGAAAATTCGTTTCATTTCAGGTTTGTGTAATCTGATGTGACTTGTTTCAGTTTTATGCTGTAACTTAATAAAAAAACTACAAAGAATACGCATAAATGTATACATATAGAACATCATTCAAAGAGCATTCGTGAAGAGACGAACAAGGAATTTCTGCAGCTAGACAAAAGTGAGGACATAAATTGAAGACAAACGAGGTATAACGACCCATCCCTGGCGACCGTAACTTACGATCATCAAACACGTGAGGCGACCCAGGTGAAGACGAGGTTCCCGGAGGCTGTGTGCTGGACACACACACATCTCTCTTACACGGTCACTGTGATGGAGCCAACAGCGACACCACCTCGGTAAGTCAATGTTTTCGTGTGTTTGCAGGGTGAGGGAGAGTGTGAGGGAGAATGGCTGAAGTGAGGGAGAGGGAGAAGGGTTAATGTATTTAATGGAAGACTTCTTACTACGAGATATATGCTTCTATGTATGATAATCTATATAACTGTATTTGTGTATACCTGAATAAACTTACTTACATAGGGCGTGATGACAATACTTTGCTGGATTATGTATTGGTGGATAAAAGGTTGATGAGTAGACTTCTGGTTATGCATATTTATAGAGGGGCGACTGATACATCCGATTATGTGAGTAAGAATCATTATATTGCAGGAACTTTCAGTACAGTTGCAATGATCTGTCCAGGAGCAGACTTTATTAATTACACAAGAACCACACACAAACACTGCCTTGTAAGACAAACAAGCACTGTGAATTTAACCTCGAGAAAGGTCACGTAACAAGAGTCATAGAAAGGTTTAGGGGTGAGATAAAAGGAGAGGTCAGGTAGGCAAAATATGAGCCAGGGATGACTGACACTTATAAGAATTGGCGGCCACCTCCAGGCTGTTACGTTTGGTTCTGTCGTCCTTCTGAAATAGTTGCTGAGATGCTGCCCAGGTCAGGGGAATGTATGTTCTGTTAGGTGACGTACATGTCTCTAGCATCACCCATTGTACACGTCTGTGTGTGCTCTTGAAGGTCACGCTCTGCACGGGGTGATGTAGACCAGGTCGTGGTGGTGCTATATTTTTGGATTTACAAGGCCTCTGGTGGTCATTAATGCACAACATGCTAGCATCTTTCTTGTGCTACACATTATCTACGGCTGCAAGAGGAAGGCCCAACGAATACACAGCACTACTAGGCAGCCCCCAGTACCGACCGTCGTCTTGTGCACACACGCAAGTCGCTGCCTCCATCAAACATTATTTAGTAACGCCAGAATGGACTGGCTGTTGTTGCTTCATGTAAACAGCATTTTATATACTGCAGAAAGAAGTGAAGTTATTTTTTTTGTTGTAGAAGCAACAACAGCCAGTTGATGGAGGCAGCGACTTGCCGTGTGTACAAGACGACGGTCGGTACTGGGGGCTCCCTAGCAGTGCTGTGTATTCATTGCGCCTTCCTCTTGCAGCCGTAGATAATGTGTAGCGGGAATCTGAGAACAATTAAAAGGTTCTCGTTGTATTATTGCTCACCTGCCAGGTATTAATCATCACAGATACTCAGAGCACCACGAGACTTATAACAGTACCATAATTTGTCTCGATGTGGTGGGAAAACAGATGAACTGGATCAACCTAGTGTTGATGATCCAGTTTATCTTGTGCTGTAGTCTGTTAACTTTCTTGAAGACGATAACCTTAAGGATAAAATGTCTTTTATTTTCCTCAACAGTGAACTTTAAGAAGATTCCACTGAACTGAGATCATCCTTGAATTTATGAAGGTCAAAACGTCTGTTGATGATGAGCAGCATGTCATGCACATGTCTGAGTCATGTCGTGCGTGTCTTAGCCATGTCATGCTGCGTGTAATAATGACTTAGGGATGCTTGCTTGCCTTGTAAGACGGGGTTTCTGTGTATTTCCTGTTGTGTCGTTATCAACTGGTCTGGTTATTTCTCCCACCTTCAACTATTCTCTCTGATACCCATACATCAGAACAAACAGAATAAACACATTAATCTGAGTTTTTGTTAGTTTGACGTTACAAACAACATTTATTATACTACCAAACAGTTCTTGAAGTGTTTCAATCAATAAAAACAGTCAGTGAAACAATATAAAGCGCCTTTAAAACAATTACAGTCCTTATATTTTAAAAGCTACTGAAGTATTTACTGAGATTTATACGCCCGTCAAATTCCTTAATATATTATATAATAGACATGTGACCAGGTGGGCTGGGCTGCCTGTATACATATCTTGAGTCTATGTATAACGCATAAAAATCAAACTCAGCATGAATACTGATTGACCTTGTCGTGATTTCTAGTGTGGAATGTTATGGTAGTTGACAGTGTCCCAACACCACCCCATGACACCAAGAACATGGTAGTGTGCAGCTCCTGGCCCTCGTTGGCCACGTCTCATGGATACTCAAGACTTTTAAGAAAGTGTGTAAACCTCACATGGTTTACAATATTTTTTTCCCCTTCATCAACAAGTTCATTCTGTAATTCTTCATCTCAAGTGACTCCGAAGATCTGAGGTTGATCATACACAAGCACTCAAGCACTCGCTCTGTTTTCTGCTTTCCTCTCCATGATTCACAACCTGATCCCAGCTCCTGAGGATGTGTGCACTGCAACACGAAACACCAACAGCTATCATTCAACTCCCCCTCTGGCTGTTTTACATCTTGCATTGCTTGTTCGCGATTTCTTCACACATACACACACAGACACACACACACACACACACACACACACACACATACACACACACACACACACACACACACACACACACACATACACACACACACACATACACACACACACACACACATACACACATACACACACACACACACACACCACATACACACATACACACACACACACACACACACACACACACACACACATACACACATACACACACACACACACACACACACACACACACACACACACACACACACACACACACACAATGGGAGGCAATGTGAGGAGGAAAGGGCAAAATCAGTGTTTATCCATGGGCTTCAGGAGAGAGAGGAAAGGACACACACTGAAAGGCAGCAGGAAGAAAGAAAGGAGATTGAGAATATCATCACGGAAATAGGTGAAGAGAGGGACGAGATTGTAAATTTTCAGAGAATAGGGGGGTACTCGAAGGGAAGAAACCGACCAATCAAGCTGATTCTCAGGACGGAAACAGTGCGGAACAGGATCCTCCAAGAGAAACCACGATTGAAATACTCGGAAGAGTACAAGAGGGTGTTCCTAGACAGAGACAGAACACAATCGACAGCAGCTGAGGGAGAGGACAAAAAAGCGAAAGGAGCTGGGAAAAGACACAAGGATGGAACCAGCAGAGGTCAGTCAGAGCAGAACAGAACAGCAAGGGCAAGCACACACACAACTATTCTCAGAACCATACAACCTATCACACCATCCCAACACACACTACAATCCATACCCACAGCCTCCACCCAACACCGAGCTATAGAATCCCACAGTATGCTACCAGGTCTCCCACCCTCACAGGTCCCCCAAACCACAGTGTTGGAAAGGAAACTGAAGGTATGGTACACAAACGCTGATGGAATAACAAATAAGTGGGAGGAGTGGCATGAAAGAGTCAAAGAGGCATCACCGGACATCATAGCTCTCACAGAAACCAAGCTTACAGGTATGATAACAGATGCCATCTTTCCAACGGGATACCAAATCCTGAGGAAAGACAGAGGGAACAGGGGGGGTGGAGGAGTGGCATTGCTGATCAAAAATCGCTGGAATTTTGATGAGCAGGAGAGAGGAGACAGTGGAGAAGAAAGTGATTACATAGTGGGAACGCTTCACTCTGGAGGTCCCAAGGTGGTAATAGCAGTGATGTATAACCCACCACAGAACAGCACAAGGCCAAGGCACGAGTACCACGAGAGCAATAGAGCGATGGTTGACACACTGGCTAGAGTGGCCAGAAGAGCTCATGCATGCAGGGCAAAGCTCCTGATCATGGGTGACTTTAACCACAAGGAGATCGATTGGGAGAACTTGGACCCGCATGGAGGCCAAGATACATGGAGGGCTAAGATGATGGAGGTGGTACTGGAAAACTTCATGTAGCAACACGTAAGGGACACTACAAGAGAGAGAGAGGAGAGGATGAACCAGCAAGGCTGGACTTAGTATTCACCTTGAGTAGTGCAGATATCGAGGACATCACATATGAAAGACCCCTTGGGGCCAGTGACCATGTGGTTTTAAGCTTCGAATACACAGTAGAGCTACAAGTGGAGGGAGAAGCAGGAAGGCCAGGACGAATGAAGCCAAACAACAAGAAAGGGGACTACACAGGAATGAGGAACTTCCTGAACGGGGTTCAATGGGACAGAGAACTGGGAGGGAAGCCAGTTAATGAGATGATAGAATATGTAGCAACAAAATGCAAGGAGGCTGAGGAGAGGTTTGTACCCAAGGGTAACAGGAATAATGAAAAAGCCAGGATAAGCCCATGGTTTACCCAAAGGTGCAGGGAGGCAAAAACCAAGTGTGCTAGGGAATGGAAGAAATATAGAAGGCAAAGGACCCAGGAGAATAAGGAGAGCAGTCGTAGAGCCAGAAACGAATATGCACAGATAAGAAAGGAGGCCCAACGTCAATATGAAAACGACATAGCAGCAAAAGCCAAATCTGACCTGAAGCTGTTATACAGCCACATCAGGAAGAAAACAACCGTCAAGGACCAGGTCATCAGGCTAAGGAAGGAAGGAGGAGAGACAACAAGAAATGACCGTGATGCATGTGAGGAACTCAACAAGAGATTCAAAGAAGTGTTCACAGAGGAGACAGAAGGGGCTCCAGAAAGACGGAGAGGTGGGGTACACCACCATGTGCTGGACACAGTACACACAACCGAGGAAGAAGTGAAGAGGCTTCTGAGTGAGCTAGATACCTCAAAGGCAATGGGGCCAGATAACATCTCTCCATGGGTCCTGAGAGAGGGAGCAGAGGTGCTATGTGTACCCCTAACAATAATATTCAATACATCTATCGAAACAGAGAGATTGCCTGAGGCATGGAAGACAGCAAATGTGGTCCCAATCTTTAAAAAAGGAGACAGACATGAAGCACTAAACTACAGACCAGTGTCACTGACATGTATAGCATGCAAAATCATGGAAAAGATTATCAGGAGAAGAGTGGTTGAACATCTAGAAAGGAATGATCTCATCAACAGCAGCCAACATGGTTTCAGAGATGGGAAATCCTGTGTCACAAACCTACTGGAGTTCTATGACATGGTGACAGCAGTAAGACAAGAGAGAGAGGGGTGGGTGGA